CGGTGGAAAGACACGTGCAGGCAGAGACAAAGCTCTTGCAGTGAAGCTCAGCAAGGAAACTGCCGCTCCAGCTGTTGTGGGGACACAGCCAGGAGACTGAGATGGCTCCTACCATCCCAGGGTTATCAGACAAGGGAAGAACTGTTAGCCTGGGTCTCGGCGGGGGGACAACTCCAGTCTCATGACAGGGCAGGGCAGTAAAACGGCTCCTTAGGTATTTCTTAAAGGGCCACCACCCACACTGCTATGTGAGACCCCTCCCACACATGATTTACCAACACTGAAGTACAAGGCTGGCTTGTTCTAGTTTCTAATACTGTAACCTTTTCAACATCGTCTCTCCAGCTAGTTTATCAACTTTCAGCATTATCTCAGTGTTCTGAGACATAAGGCAGAAAGATCAGATCCACTGTGCTTAGATATTTCCAAGCTAATCAAACCACACTTTTTGAGACAGGGTCTCGCTCTGTCACCCAGGCTGGAGTACAGTGGTGCAATCTCGGCTCACTGTATCCTCCGCCTCCTGGGTTCAGGGTTAAAGTGATTCTCCTGCCTCGGACTTCCGAGTAGCTGGGACTACAGGCACAGGCCACCACGTCCAGCTAATTTTTGTATTTTTTGTAGAGACAGGGTTTCACCATGTTGGCCAGGATGGTCTTGATCTCTTGACCTCAAATGATCCACCAGCCTCAGCCTCCCAAAGTATTGAGATTACAGGCAAGAGCCACCATACCTGGCTATCTCTAACTCTTAATGAGGTATTACCCCATCAAGAGGTAGAGATGGCCAGGTTTATACAAAAAGTAACTATATTTCACTGAACAACATTTTACTTCAATTAAAATCAAAACAAATATGCTCTGGCCCAGTCCAAAATGAACTGACTGAGAATCTGTGTGAGACAGGCCTATATGTCCCTCCTATTGAGAAATACTGGTCCAGACTGACGCTATTCTTTCATGAGCTATCTTCTGGCCAGGGGTTGGCAAACCTTTTCTATGCTAAGTAAATCAGTAAATATTTCAGGCTTTGTGGGTCATTGGATCTCTGTAGAAACTGCGGCTGTAGTGCGAAAGTCTGAAGAGACAGTGTGTAAATAAACGGGCATGGCTATGTACCAATAAAACTTTATGCATAAACACAGGCAGTGGGCCACAGTCTGCCAAATCCTTCTTTAGTAAGTTACAAAGCCACCTCCTTCCCAACATGCGAGACCCTGGCATGCTTGAAAAGCAGCATGGTATGGGACTGGACAAATGTGTATTTCAATTTCTGGTTTTACTGCTTTCTGGCTTGTTGAACTTGGGATGTATATACTTACATCCCCAAACTGGTTTCCTCATCTGCAAAATGGGCATAAGAGCTATGCTGAAGTGCTGAATTAAGAAGAAGTTATATATACAAAGCAGCTAGTATGGTGACTGGTCCACTGCAGGGTATTAACACACAGGAGCTATCAATGTTACTGGAGATGTTATCAAGGTCACACGTGTTGCTCTAATCCACCGTGCTATCCTGATCTACTCCTGTGGGCCAAAGTCTGGTCCCTACCTAATCCTCCTTTATTGCAAAAGAGTCCCTCTAACTGGCCACTTCCCCAAAGGGGAAGCTGAGTCTTGGTCTCTACTGTGCCCCTAATCTGGTATACCCCTTGCCTCTCCACAGCTAAAAACCTCTACTCTTTTAAAGTCCAGGTTATAATCCATCCTCAATACAAAGTCTTGCCCTTCCCCACACCCCCTGCCAGCCCCGATCAGACACCCCAGGGTGTGATATTTCAGCAATAATTTCCCTGGCCCCACATGTCTTGTGTTTATCAATCACTGCTTGCTGTCTACAGCAATTCTATTCAACCTGATTATAAATTACTGAAGGGAAGTAATGATCCTTATACATCTCTGTGTTTCCCTCAATGTTAAGTCTACCATATGAGCATTTAGTACATATTTGCCAAGTGGCTGATTCACAAATGCTGAAAATTCAAAGGATTCAGATTATAGTAACGTCCCGCATAAAACTCCTGGACATCATGAGAGAACATGAATGACAACAACAAAAAGGACGAAAACTCTGTGAGATCCTACGCACCTTTCGCAACAGCTGCTGGAGCAGAGCTGGGGACAACTGGAGCTGGGGCAGCTACAGGCAGAATGGCAGGTGGCTTGCTGGCAGAAAATGACTGAACCACTGAAGGGAAAAAAGGAGGGAGGGATACAACAAATACAGAAATTATCTTTAATGAGGGTGATCTCACTCCCAGGTGACGAGCCCACAGTAGACTAACAGCACAAATAACTTCAGGACAACAGGAACTGCAAAGTCCCTTTTTCATAGTGGCTGATGATTAGGTATGAGGGCAACTGAGGTATAACTTCAACTGTAGAAACAGGAGCTTGTCGTTAAACTAAGAAAATAATCCAGGCCGGGTGCAGTCGCTCACGCCTATAATCCCAGCACTTTGGGAGGCCGAGGTGGGTGGGTCACCTCAGGTCAGTTCAAGGCCAGCCTGGGCAAGATGGTGAAACCCCGTCTCTACTAAAAATACAAAAATTAGCCAGGCATGGTGGTGGGCGCCTGCAGTCCCAGCTACTCGGCAGGCTGAGGCATGAGAATCGCTTGATCTCAGGAGGCAGAGGTTGCAGTGAGTGGAGATTGCACCACTGAACTCCAGCTTGGGTGACAGAAGGAAACTGTCTCAAAAAAAAAAAATCCAATTAATGTAAATTCTTATAAAACACTTAAAATGCTCCCCCTCAATTCAGCTTTACAAGAGGGCAGCTATTTATTTATTTATTTTCTAACTAGAATAACCAGATTAAAGGGCAGCTATTTAGAAGCCAACAAACATCTGGGTTTCGAGTCCTGGTGTTGGTGGCCTAGCATTCACGGTGCAGGAAGTACCGTGATGGCCGAAGGGCGGCTGTACACAGGCAGGGCAGTCACCACCTGGAAGATGCTGGGAGACGTGGAGGCGGCCACAGCGCAGACGGCCCGTGGGCGAGGGACTCACCTTTATTCACAGGCATCAGGATCGTCTGTACCCCTCCAGACGTGTTTACGCTGAGTGGTTTGAGCTGGCTGGGAATCGTCAGGACAGCCTGCTGAGGGTTGGACTGACTGGAGTGAATCTTTAACAATCCTAGAACAAAGTGGAAGATAAGGCCAAGCTGAAGATCAGGTGCTTCCAGAAAGTTCCTTAACCTCTGTGCCACCCAAATTTTCTCACAGGAGGAAGTTCCCAGGACATTTACCCTTCCAGTAAACAAAGAATGAGAAGCAGAACGCAACAGATGCTGTGGATTTCACAATAAAACATCAGCCTGACAATAATTATTTACTTACTTATTTATTTACTTTTTGAGATGGAGTCCTGCTCTGTCACCCAGGCTGGCACGATCTCGGCTTACTGCAATCTCTGCCTCCCAGGTTCAAGTGATTCTCCTGCCTCAGCCTCCCGAAGTGCTGGGACTACAGGCATGTCACAACACACAGCTAATTTTTAATCTGTTTTTGTAGAGCTGGGGGTCTTGCTTTGCTGCCCAGGCTGGTCTTGAAGCTCCTGACCTTGAGCGATCCTCCCACCATGGCCTCCCAAAGCCCTGGGGTTTTTCTTTTTGAGACAGATCTCGATCTGTCGCCCAGGCTGGAGTGCAGTGGCGCCATCTCAGCTCACTGCAACCTCCACCTTCTGGGTTCAAGTGATTCTCCTGCCTCAGGCTGCCTAGTAGCTGGGATTACAGGCGCATGCCACCACGCCCAGCTAATCTGTGTACTTTTAGTAGAGACGAGGTTTCACCGTGTTGGCCAAGCTGGTCTTGAACTCCTGACTTCAGGTGATCCACCCGCCTCAGCCTCTCAGAGTGCTGGGATTACCGCTCCTGCTCAGCACTGGGATTCTAGATGTGAACCACTGTGCCTGTCCATATAAAGTACTCTTGTCCCACAACAATGAAGTAATACATTTTTGCTAGTAAAAAGGAGAAAAAGTCACCCAAGGTCCTACTGCAGAGATAATCCGTACTAATGTTTTCAGACAGTATGTTCCATGTTTGTTTTCTATGACAATTTGTTTTGTACACAGCTCTGATGTGCACAAAATTTTGGATTTTGTACATCACTCTGAATATAAAATTCCATGTTTTGATGTGAAATGTTGTCATTCTCCTAATTAAAAACCTATGCTGGCTCTCGACTGCCTAAAATACATTTCCAAGATTAGCTTCAAGCTTTCAGGGTCCACTTTAATCTGGTCCCAATTTGTGGGCATCTCCTTCACACCGTCCCTCCATATCTAATACATCCAACTATCTGCACACCACACCTTATCATTTCCTAGCTCTGTGCAGCCCTTGTTTTTCCAACATCAGATGTTCTCTATCATTTTAGAAAGGGTCACCTTCTCTCATTTTATTTTAAAGGTGATTTCCATATTCCCATTTCCATGGTAAAACCGTTCTAGGCATTCAGAGTGCCATTTAAAAAATCACGAAGAGCTTTTACTGTGAAGGAGCATCCGAGGCACAAACAATATAAAAACATTTTAAGAAATACTTTAAAAACAGTGGCCGGGTATGGTGGCTCATGCCTATAATCCCAGCACTTTGGGAGGCTGAGGTGGGCGGATCACTTGAGGTCAGGAGTTCAAGACCAGCCTGGTCAACATGGTGAAACCCTGTCTCTACTTAAAATACAAAAAAAATTAGTTGGGCGTGGTGGCGGTTGCCTGTAACCCCAGCTACTTGGGAGGCTGAGACAGGAGAATCACTCGAACTTGGGAGCCAGAGGTTTCAATGAGCCAAGGTCATACCATTGCACTCCAGCCTGGGCAACAAGAGCAAAACTCTGTCTCAAAACAAACAAAAAAAAAACAAAAACCCAGCATCAGGGCTAAAGATACTTTAAAAGCACCGGAAAGCAGTTGGTTTGAGCTAAGGAAAGGAATAATCTTAAATAATTTCTAGAACAAGGCCTTAAATAAACAAAATCTTTCTTTGGAACAGAAGAGTGTTAGATCAGCCAGGTAGTAATACTTCCTGAGACGTGATCTTGAGCAGTTTAATAATAATCTGAGTTTTCATATTTCTACGCATGATGATCAGATGAAAAGTTAAAAAGTACTAAAAGGCTATAAGTAAAAGCATTCCACCTCCCATCTTCATCTAGTTCCCCAGTGACATCCACTTTTAACGCTTTTGGTTCTTTTTATTAATATTTATCTCAGTATATGTAGAAGAATGTGTCCAGGTGCAGCAGCTTACACCTGAAACCCCAACACTTTGGATGGCCAAGAAGGGAGGACTGGTTGAGGCCAGAAGTTTCAGACCAGCCTGGGCAGCAAAGCGAGACCCATCTCTACCTAAAAAAAAAAAAAAAAAAAAAAAAAATGACACATATGGTGGCATGCCTCTGTAGTACCAGCCACTTGGGAGGCTGAAGCGGGGAAACAGCCTGAGCCCAGGAGTTCAGAGGCTACAAGGAGCTATGATCACACCCCTGCACTCCAGCCTGGGTAACAGAGCAAGACTCTGCTCTAAAAATAAAATAAAAATAATTTAAAAAGGAATGTAAACATTGTAGGCCTTGATTCATCAATTTTTCATTTTACCTACTGATTTAGTATTAGGGTAGATTTTTTTTTTTTTTTTTTTTTGAGACAATGTCTGGCTCTGTCACCCAGGCTAGAATGCAGTGATGCGATCATGGCTCTCTGCAACCTTGACCTCCCAGGGTCAAGTGATCCTCCCACCTCAGTCTCTCAAGTAGCCAGGAATACAGGCACTACCACCACGCCCAGCTAATTTTTTATTTTTATTTTTGTAGAGATGGGGTCTTGCCACGTTGCCCAGGCTTGTCTCAAACTCCCAAGCTCAAGCAATCCAGCTGCCTTGGCCTCCCCAACTGCTGAGATAACAGGCGTGAGCCACCGCACCCAGCCCCTAGATGGGGTCGTCTTCAGTGGCTTCCTCCAGAGTCAAAGTCAAATCTAGCCAAAAAGGGATAAGAGCCTTAAAAAGTGCCCCTTTAAAGGCACTTATATGCCCTTTCTTTGCTATACAAACGTTCCCTTACAATGGTTGACTCTGGAGGTTTTGACTTCAGCATGGTGTAAAAGCGACACCGGGCAGCGGCAGCAAGCCACAGCCCCAGCCAGCCATGCATTCTTCCCACTTACGACGTTTTCACCTCACAATGACTGACTGGAGCATAACCCCACTGTAGGCTGAGGGCCATCTGTACTCCAATGCTGCTGTCTATCAATCCAAAGAAGTGCACCATGATACCGGGATTTCGTTCTATTCTCTGGAGTTAATTTCCTCCTCTTTCATTTCAGTATCTTTGTAAGTTTTCCTACCTCCTTCAAGAGCTCAGTCTGCAAGCCACTGCTTAGTATGAATCTCCTCAGTCAAATCTCCTACACAGAGTCTCATTTTCACATTAGGCTTCCCTCCCAGAGCTCTGTGATCCGGGCCAATCTGGACTCTGCTTTCTGGGCCTGCCGCGGAACTCTCACCCCTTCATCATCACCCTGGGAATTTACTTTGCCTTCCTTCATGCTGGGTCTCCCATGCTCCCCTTTCTGGGTTTACACTTCTTCACTCTGGTAAAACACAGATCCTAGGAATGTCTTTGGAGAGTCTACACAGAACACACATTGCAAATTCTGCCTGCCAGAAACAGTTCTACCCTCACTCTGTAATGATCTCCTTGGCGAGAGAATTCTAGACTCAAAGTCAGGTTCTTGCATTTCGAAAAGCAGTAGTATGCTAGCTTCTAGCGCTGCCACTGAGTAGCTTGATGATAAGTAATTTCTGAAATTTTCAATTTCTTTACACTGTACCTTTTGAACCTGGCAGTTCACGCCCTTCACTTCTGGGAAAAATTCTCATCTGGCCAGAGTTCCCTGATCCATCAAACATTTTTCTTTCTTAATGTCTACGTTTTGGTCCATTCTCTGCTTCCACCTTGTGCTCAGAGCTTACTGTCAATGCTGCACCCATGATCCTACGAAAAGGTAAGGCAGATCATACTGCACCTTAGCTTAAAACCCTGCAGTGGCTTCCGCCAGAGTCCAGGTCCAAGTTCCAACACCCCACACAGGCTCTGCATGCTGACGGAATCTCCTCCTGCTCTCTCCTTTGCCTCACACAGCATCTGTCCCAATGAGACCTTGTTTAATGCAGTTTACGATGCACATAAAAAACTTAATTGAAAAACTGCTGGTTATAAGTAGGAAACAGTTTGATCCTTTTATGAAAATGTGGGCCAGGTGCCATGGCTCACCCCTGTAATCCGGAGTTCAATACCAGCCTGGTCAACACAATGAAACCCCATCTCTACTAAAAATACAAAAATTAGGCAGGTATGGTGGCGCATGTCTGTAATCCCAGCTACTCAGGAGGCTGAGGCAGAAGAATCACTGGAATCTGGGAGGCAGAGGTTGCAGTGAGCCAAGATTGTTCCACTGCACTCCAGCCTGAGTGACAAGAGCAAAACTCCATCTCAAAAACAAAGGAAAGAAAGGAAAGGAAAGGAAGAAAGAAGAAAAGAAAAAAAAGAAAAGAAAAGAAAATGTGATACAGAAAGTTCCATCAGCAGCATCTCGGGCAACCAGAACTTACAGCAGGGAGTCTTCATCTACTGCCAAAAACATGACCAGAAAAGAGACAAGGGAGGGGCGTTCATTATTTATAATCACTCCTTTTATTTCTACAATTTCTACTCCAGTGTCCAACACAGGGCCTCAAATTCAACATTCAGTTAGGAGAGAACAAGTACTCCCTATAGAAGTTGGTCAATTTTAACAGGGAGGTAGAAATCAAGAGAAAAATATAATCAGCCTTAATTGTTCTCTATCCAAAAACAAGACACAAGGAGCTTGGCTTGGAGCTACATATGAACGAAGTGATAATAGTAATGACAACAACGTCACCCACAGCCTCTTATCCAAAGGCAGTAGGGGTGCATGTGCGTGCGTGTGTGCATGCGTGTGCACGTGTATCTCGGTGATACTCAGTTTTTCCGGTAGACCAGTGCCAGCGGTATGCTGGCTATTATCAATCTCCAACGAGATAATAGAGTGTTTAGAAACTTTAACAGTTAAATAGTGCTGCAACATTTTTATTTTATTTCACAGAAGTATCTGTCTGTACCGGACTGTAGGAAAATGAAAACAAAACTGATCTTTCAAGTTTAAGAAGCAAAGCCACATAGTGTATCAGCTTCCTGGCAGCTGAGACAGCATGATGTAATCAAACACATCAATATTCTGTGGCAAAACCCACAAATATTCACATTAAGTAATATAAACAGGCTGTCAATGGAGGTCAAATTGTGCCCTAAAATTAGTTATAAAAAACAAAATCTTGCAGCCATAAAAATGAATGAGCTCATGTCCTTTGCAGGGACATGGATGAAGGCGAAGCAATCATTCTCAGCAAACTAACACAGGAACAGAAAACCAAATACCACATGTTCTCACTCACAAGTGGGAGCTGAACAATGAGGGAGGGGAACATCACACACCGGGGCCTGTCGGGGGGTGGGACACAGGGAGGGGAACATCACACACTGGGGTGCCTGTCGGGGGGTGGGACAC